CTGGCCCCACTGACGCCAGTTAAACCTGCACTGATTCCATCAGAACCGGGATTTTATTTCACCTGCTATGTCAGCGCGACAAAGGACTCCACTCCGCTCTCCTCCTCTCCCTTTTCCTCTGCATCAGTCAGAACTGCCTTATTTCTCCCTACAACCCCCCGGTTTGGAAGGGAACACGCAGGCGGGTGCACACACGCCCTTCCTCTGGGTCACAGCCTATTTTCCAGCTCAGCAGGTTAGCCCTGGACGTGTGAAGATTTAAGAAGCAAACCCCAGCCCCAGCAGCGAGGAGAGGCTCTGCACAGTGCCGGCTGCGGACACATGGGACGTGTCTCCTTCTTCAGCGGGTGCAGGGGAAGGAGCGGGGAGGGACGGGACCCTCCACGTGCCAAGAGTCCTCACACGCCAACAGCCCGACCTATAGAAAAACTGCTGTCCTTGTTAAAAAAACCATTGTGGAGCAAGACTGCTTCTCCTTTCTAATATCAAGGGTTACACGGGCAGCTTAAATGCTACTTTGGTGCTTTCTGAAATTCCCTGCGAGCTGCGTTGCTCTCCCATCACTTCCAACTTTCGTCCCGTCAGCCTGGGTAGCCAGCCCAGAGCCAGAGCCTCTCCTGCTCTTCAGATGATTTTCACTATCAGTCACTGGGGCTATTAAGATTCTCAATGCGTGTATCTGGTTTCCAATAGTACAAGCTGCTTCTTAAAGGTTATAGTTTGTTTTAAATAGCACAGCCATCTGTCCTCCGGTGGCTGATGGGAGCTGAAGAAATCGAAGCGGCCAAACCAGAATTTTTCAAACTGTCAGTTTTATATTACAAACATTTCAGGTTGAATAAGACCCTATGTCCTAAAGAAAAAAAATAATTATGTATTATTTTTTCTTGTGGATTACACAAACACTGTGAGTCTTGCTTTAACAGTTTCGTGGTGGTGTTGGAATTTCATCAATGCGTATATCTGGCCTGGACTTCACCAGCTCCCGGCACTTTACAAACCACAGAATAATCCTCATGTGCTGCTAGTTTTGAACTAAAAACCACTCATTTATTACAAGTAGCCACGACCTAAATGTCAGTCTTTAAATGTCAGCTAAAGCTCCAAGTTCAACTCTTCTACAAAGTTAAATCAATTTATTAACTTGACAGGACTGCTTTTCTTAATTTGACATTATTTTTGACAGAAATAGGTTTAGACCACATAGGCCAGCGACGTGCAGCAACTGTTACCAGCAGAATCACTAATACCTTGCTAGAAAAATAAAAATATATGAGAAACAACCAGTATTTCCTTAGGCAAATGCTGCTCTACCATGCATGGCCTTGCTGGCATCATCTGCCCTCAAGTGCCAACACCGATGGTCCCTCAGTACCGCCTCGGAAAAGCCTACGTTATAAACAGTTGCCAAGGAGCATCCAAGGAGACAAGACAGACAACAGAAATATATTAATCAGAACAACATACCAAAGTTTATTGATTACTTCAAACAAAAGTTTCTGTAATGAAAAAAGAGCAAGTTGCATTCATAAAAGATAACATTCACATTCATTTTCCTTTATATAAAGCAACATAAATGTATAAAATTGCATTTAAGTGAAAAAATGTAAGGTTGCAGTCCTTTTATTTTTTTGCAAGAAGCTGAAAATGTATCTCCTCATTGCCTGTATATAATTTACACTTTGTATAGACTATATGTTAAAAAAAAAATCAAAAAACATAGCTGGGAAACTGGATAAATGGTGCAGTATTATGTAAGTTTTTCGACTGTGTGGATACAAATTCAATTTTAAGCTTTTATGCAATTCCAAGTCATTTAAAATATTCTCATAACGATTAGGATTAGTTTTTGAAAAGTAGCTATGACAACACCAAGTTCCTCCGTTATCACTTAACAGTTTTAAAGAGAATCTTAATTACTTTTCTTATCTTTCAGTGTCACTAGACAGTGATTAAACTTCAACAAATTACTATGAAAAAAAAACCCCAGCCTTTTTTCCTTCAAGTTTTCCCACCAATGAGCCTGTACTGACCTTTTAGCTCCCTAACGAGCGCTGTAACAGCGCAGCCTGTGTTACGGTACATGAACAGCAACCACAGCATCACCATTGGAGTACTGCCACTTCAGCATCCTGCTGGCTGACACCTTGCAGTGACTATCACCACTTTTTCTTCCCTTCTCCAACCCCAAAAGGAGTCTCCTGTTTCCCCGGATTTCACAAGTCATCCACAGCAATAGGAATTTCACTTCTGCCACTGCTGAACGACAAGGATTGGCTCTTCTGCAGGTCCGGTCCGGGGCAGCCCGGCTGTCCCGGCATCCCCAGCACTACACCAGTGCACTAGCTGAAGATCCAAGCCCAAGAAAACCTGGGTTTTCCCAGAAGAGCTGCTGCGCAAGATGTTTCACGTTAATTCCAACTCGCGTTTTGGCACACGTGCCTTGGGTTTGAACGTACAGCTATTGCAACGGCTTGCTCCATCCTGAGACAGGACACTTGGAAATGGGAAGAGAAAGATTTGGTTGGAAGAAGGCTCCGTCCTAAAGCAGTCTGCAGAAACCAGCCCGTTGAAGTGGCTTGATTCGGACAGTTCACACACCCATGGCAAGCTCCGCTCTGTTCCCACTAACGTCAGCAGCAAAACCTCCATCTGAATTTCACGGGAACAGACTTCGACCCTAGGAGCAGAGTAGGACACAAAACAAACCGAGAAGCAAGGCGTCAGGCTTGGGACCATTCGGGCCTGGAATGGTTTTGAATCACAGGAATTGGGCATTTCAGCGCCCGCATTTGAAAGGTTATGTAAACACAAGTCAGCACTTGTATATTTAAGGAAAAAGGTTAGATTTGGCATGTAGAGCGCATCTTCGTTGTATTCATCGCATACTTGATCCGTAGGCACCACATTGTAGCAAGAAAAGTTGAGAACGGGACAAGGTCTGCAAGCTGAATTCTAGGTCCGTGAAATGAGCTAGGAAAAGGAATAAAAAAAGAAGGAAAAAAAAAAAAGCAGCTTTGCCCACGGGACACATGCTGGAAGCGCAGCTCCTTACTTGCATGCAGCAAGGAGTCGAGCCGCGGTTGCTAACACGGTGCTAACAAACACTTGCGTGGAGGCCAGTGCAGCGTGTATAATACAGTGGTCCTGTCCATGCGTCCCCTCCCGTGCTGGGTGATGAAAGAGCAGCCACCGGCCACAGGGACCGCGCACACCCCTTTCCCACTCAGGTGAGGCCCGTTGCAAAGTCCTTACGATGCACGCCAGCACGTGCCTGCAGCTGATCCGCATCCTGCTTCTGCTGACTCAAAGACGGACCTCAGGGATGGCAGCCAGAGAGCAAGACTCGATTCTTCCGAAAAACTAATCGTCCGCAGTTCAGCACAATCCGATCAAAGGAACGTTCCATCTAGTTCCGAATTGTTGTTTCTTTGCATATTGGCGACACAGAGGCTGAGAGAGCGGGAGCCAAGCCCAGCTGCAGCGCAGAGCTCTGCGGTGAGACCCCAACGCTTCTCGCAGCACTCCCCCCCTCCGGCTCTGCCGAGCGCGAGGGGAGACTTTCGCACCAAACAGCGCCGGCACGCGGGGTGCTCCGTCACCGCTCACGACAACGCAACAAAAAAAAGCTGCTTTTTCCGCATACGAAGTATCAGAGAAAACAAGTAAGATGTCAAGCGTCGGGCGTCTCACCCCTGCTGCGCAGGACCCGAAGAGAGACGTTCCCAGGACCATGGTACAGGTAGATTTAAAAAAGAACATGCCAATTTAAAAACCAAATAAAGTGTAAAATGACATCAGGTTCATGTATTCCTTTTATTTTTAAACCGGCTTCTGTTTTCTTAGTGCAAATAACTCAAGATGCAGTTTTACACGCCTGCAGGTTGACAGGCACAGCCCGCGTCCCTGGGATCATCCAAGGACCGCAGTGTCACTCAGGCCTTTAAAGTGTTGAAGCAACTGCACGGGGCAGTAACCTAAGCACAACCGCAGCCGCCCAGGCAAAGCGGCTGAAAGTCTGGCCCAGCTTTTGAGATTCTTTCCTCCCCATGAAAACTTCCATCCATCACGAGCAGCCACAACATGAGGGAAAATGACCTTCCACCAGGAGCAAACCCATCAGCAAACCGGCCGCGGGAGGACGCTCAGGCGCTTCCCAGCACCGCGGATCTCCGCGCGGACACCACCGCTGTGTACGGACTGCCGTCCGCTTCCAGCCGTAGCCCGAGGATGGATGAGCGACTGGATGCTTCGCACCGCCGGCAAAGGCTTCTCCAAGCTTTCAAGTATTTCTGCCGCGTGCACGTGGCAGCACCCCCCGCCGGGGTGAGATGCTCGCAGGGCTACATCCAGCTTCCGCGCAGGAGGAGCGGGCGCTCCTGGCACCTTCAGGGAGCCGGAGGGGGCTGTTGGTGGGTTTCAAGTCTGTGTTACTTCTTTGGTCAGGCAGAGCAAGAGGCTTGAGCAGCTCTCTGCTGCTCCCAGACAGGTCTGCAGCGGGCAGAGGAAGCCCCCCGTGTGAAACGGGGCTGGCG